AGAGGCCTGGGCTGAGACAGAGCCATGCATGGTCCATGGGCAGCACCTGTCTGGTGGTTCTCTGGGCTCCTCTGCTTCAGGGTGCTGGTTTTACTCTCAGTCTGAAGCATGGATTTGGAGACCTTTCCCCCAAGCATCAAAAAAGGGGTGCTTCTTTCTTTATCTCATTCTTGAGAGTGAAAGGTCCTTCTCAGGAGCACCCTCACATACTTCCTGTCCTATATTTTCGGCCGGAATCGAATCATATATCTATCGTTAAGCCAATCAGAGGCAAGAGGAACAGTGTGAACAGCATTGGCTCAGACTAGTCAGGCTGCCCTTGGAATGGGGTCTCCTTCTCCTGAACTGCACAGGGTAGTTGCTGAAACAAAATAGGATTCTTTTAGCAAGGAGGAGGGGGAAATGGACACTTGGTGGGTAACTGCGCCTGCTGGATTTGTACATTTAGTATGGCATGCTATACACATACTGTGCCTCACCTAACACACAGTTTACAGCACCATAAACATAGCCTGCCGCACTATACATGTGACACAGAGCATGGTCCGCACTTCGGGGCTGCCTAAGATGATGGTGGAAAAACAGACCTGTTCAAAGTATTAAGTATAAGTTGGTATATTTTCCCTGGGACGCTAACTAAGAACAATGTTAGGTCAGGGGTTGTAGAGTCTTTTTCGATGATCTTAAAGACATGCAGAGAGGACAGAGGTGGGAGCTTCTGATGGATACTTTGCAAATTGCATCATAAACAAATGAGTGGGTAAAATCCTCAAGCAGCCTCTAGGAGCATGAGCAGTTTTTAGAACTTCTTTCTCAGAATTCCATAAAAAGCCACAGGAACTGCTCATTTGTTTTGAAGCTCAGAGGAGGGTTAGCAAGCCAAGAACCAAAGAAGAGCCTGAGACATTTCCAATTCCTTTTTTCTACTCTCTCAGTAAATAAAGATAGGAGGGAGAAACAATAACATCTTCTTAGAGATGCCAAGGGCACCCACCTTTGCCCTCACTTTGGTCCCCAGATGGCCTCGTACAAAACTGTCTGTTACCTCAGGAAACTATTCTGAACCTATATCAGGGTTTTGCAATTCAAACCCAAGACAAACACCTCTGTGGTCCTTGCAGGGTATTCCCAGCTGACGTTCAAGTCAATAGCAAAGGTAATAATTTTCTCATTCCCTCACCCTCTCTTGTTCCACTGCCGAGGTCTAGAGGCCTCTACATCCGGGTTGCTCACTAATCCTTCTGAAATTCCTGATAGGATGGTATCTATGTTAGTCTCTGGCTTGTATAAAACATCTTCCTATTATGACATTTTCTCCTTTTTCAAGCACCCTCATGTTTCAAAAGAGCTTTTCAAGATAATTATGCCAGCTTCATATATAAACGAAGGACAGTGAATTCCTTTACATTTGTGGTAGTGATGATTGTTGAGTTCAGAGGGGTAAGTGGCTCCCCAGGGGGATGCGGTGAGGTGGGATTAGGGAGAAATGGAGCTGGCCTCTAAATCTCTTACCTCACTCTCAGTATAATATTTTATATGTGGAACGTTTTCTCCCCGGACCCCACTGTAAGGAGAACATGCCCTGCCTTATAATGATGAAGTTAGTGATTATTTTAGGGGAGCTGGGGGAGAGGAGAAAGCATAGGAAAAGGAGAATATGGGGGTGTAGGCCTCCTGTGGCATCTCTGGACCCTCCACGTGTTCTGAAAACAGAAAGGGTCTCTTTAACTACTTCCTAGGTTAGGGGATGGCTGAGTCCAATCACTTTATGTAGCTTTCATTTTTTACCATTCAACACATTTTTATGAGTGAAGCCAAGTTAAGAAGTTCCAGAAAAAGTCTGAAGAGGTAAAAAGGAATCTTTTGGAGGCAATCGATCCAGTAATCCCACTACTGGGTATCTACCCAAAGGAAAAGAGATCATTATGTCAAAAAGATACCTGCGCACACGATTATTGCAGCACAATTCACAATAGCAAAGTCACAGAATCAACAAATGATTGGATAAAGAAAATGTCCGATCATTTTCTAAAATGAAATTGGATAAAGAAAATGTCCAATCATTTTCTAAAATGAAATTCAGCTCCAAAAAAGAGTGAAATCAAGTCTTCTGCAGCAACATGGCTTTCAGAACTGAAGACCGTTATCTTAAGTGAAACAGCTCAGAAACAGAAAGTCAGATACCACTGGTTCTCATTAATGAGTGGGTGTTAAATAACACGTATGCATGGACAGAGTGCAGGATGCTGGACGTTGAGAAGGGTCAGGGGTGAGGGATGAGGAGTGACTTAATGGGTGCAGTATGCACCGTTCGGGTGATGGCTACACTAACAGCCCAGACGTCACCCCTATCCAAGACATCCTTGGAACAAAAATGCACTTGCACCCCTTAAATTTATACAAATACAAAAGAATGTTTCAAGGTTAGCTTTAAGAAAAAGGCAGTTGGAGGAACTTCCAAGTTCTCTTAGGATCATAGTAGCTGCCAAAATTTTAATCCCTCCATATGTTCTGTAAAAACCATATAGAGCAACAAAGAGAGAACAAGTCCTAGCATCTATAACCCATGTCTACAACGTTACCAGATGACAGAGAGCCCTGCAAGCTTCAGTGTGTGTAAGGGACAGGCAACTGAAACAAGAGAGATGGTGCTGCTGCCCTCCCCATGGTGGAGTCAGATGAGGACTTCAGAGCAGAGGAAAGGGCACCTGGGCTCCAGCTCAGATGAAATCACTCTAGAAAGGGAGAGACCCATCCGGGCATGGTGGCTCATGTCTGTAATCCCAGCACTTTGGGAGGCCGAGGCAGGAAGATAGCCTGAGCCCAGGAGTTTGAGACCAGCCTGACAACATGGTGAACCCCTGTCTCCACTAACGACACAAAAATTAGCCAGCGTGGTGGTGTGCACTTGTAATCCTAGCTACTTGGGAGGCTGAGGCATGAGAATTGCTTGAGCCCCCGAGACACAGTCTGCAGTGAACTGAGATCACACAACTGCACTGCAGCCTGGACAACAGAGCAAGACCCTGTCTCAAAAAAAAAAGAAAAACAAAAATGAGACATCTGCCTGAGTGTAAGTGGGGGAAGTGAAAACAAGTCTGAGCTGGGTGAATCTGGCAACAAGCTACTGGAGGATCGAAAAGAAAAAGTATTGTCAGGGCAGTGGCTCACGCCTGTGTCCTAACACTTTGGGAGGCTGAGGCAGAAGAGTCACTTGAGCTCAGAAGTTTGAGACCAGCCTGGGTAACCTAGCAAGGTCCGGTCTCTATTTTAATTAGAAAGAAGGAAGAAGGAGGAAGAAAGAGGAGAAGAAGAGAAAAGAAGTAGAAAAACAAGAACAACAACAACATCGAGAAAAAGGACAAGAAGAGGAAGAAACGAAGGAGAAGAAAGAAAACAAGAAGAATGAAGAAGGAAGCAGAAGAGGAAGAGGAACAGGAGGAGGAGGAGGAGGAGGAGGAAGCCGCAGCAGCATAAAGGTGTAGTGGACTGGAGGTGGCAGTCTCAGGAAAGCAGCAGTTCTGGTTGGTGACCCAGAGAGGGCAGGTGTTCTTTGGAGGTTTAACAGGAAAGAGTAGGAATCCAGAGTCATAAAGTTTTTACATAAACAAAAGATCACCACAGGATCAAAATACACACCCAATCGTTTCCCATGAAAAAGACATTTGTATTAAAACAAAAGCAACAAACTGCATCTTATTATAGTGAAGGATGAGCGGAATCTTGAACTAAGAAATGTCGTCCCCTAAATCCTCCGGCCTGCTGCATCTGCTATTGCTGACCCAGGAAAATATCAAACCCCCTAGGGAAACGCAGCACAACGGACAACCTCCATACAATGCTACTGTGAGAGGAAAATGGGAAATGACAAGGACATTACCCTCCCCATCAAAACCACCACTAACTAGGGGAAAGGGTAAGTCAACACCTCATCCAATCTATGCATTCTTTACAAAGAATTCTGAGATTGGACGCAATCTGAATCTTGGATCAGAAAACTAAAGGCAAAGCGACTAACTGGACAAAAAGTTAAACAAAAATGACAAAAGTCAGACCTCTGTGAAATGAATGATGGACCACTGTCAGAAAAGGTAAGAACCACCTCAGAAACAAAAACTCATCACAAGATTCACCGAGAGAATGGATTCACCTGAAAATAAAACAAGGAAACTGAAGAAAGGAACAAAAATAGCCAGAGAACAAAAATCAAATGAAAATAAGAGGTAAAAATGGGGTCACAAAGACAATAACAGCTATAAATAAATAGGCAAAGAAACTCTCACTTACTGTAATTGAAGTAGAGGAATAAGGCTAAGGAGAAGAACAGCAGCAACAACTAATGTTTATGTAGAGCCATGACACAAAAGCTCTTTCTGAAACAAAAAACAGACAATCATTTTATTTCAAAGATCTATCATGTAACTAGAAGAACTGGGTTGAAACGATCAGTTCTCAACTGTCTTAATAAAACGATCTTACTTTCAAGACAAAGGAAAAAAAATCCATTAAGTGTTCAATACAATACTCCAAGCCGTTTACAATGAAAAGAAAATTGTGCTGGCATCAGCGTTCTCAACTTCAGATATGAAGAAAGACAACAGAGGAGCAATACTGAAATTAATAAATACTGTAAGAGTAGAAAAATGCTAAATAAAAATTATGAGTTCTAATAAAGTAATAATCTAAAATGTGAAGAGAATGAAGAAAGTGAAATAAGTTCATTGATTTCTAGATGCTAACAGGTAGATGTGAAATAACATCTTTTGAAGCTGACAAACCAAATAGTAGAAAAACTTTTCTAAAATCTAAATTTTTAGATTTATTTTTAGATTAAATCTAAAAATATTCTTAAGACTGAAGCAAATCCCAAGACAGTAATTATAGAATAACAATGAAATGAAATTATTTTTATTTCATGAATAAATTATTTTATTTAACATGAAGAAGCAAAGAACTTTAATAGAAGCAACTATGTGCATAAGTGTATTCTTTAAAAGGACAGAATAGACACACTTTGGTTTCTGTGTCCAGCACGTACAGAGTTTGTAAGTTGTCATTTCATCATTCTATAATAACAACAAATAAAAATCTGAACAAACTGAAAATTAACACTTTTCTTAGATCTGTTAAAGAATTGAGATCACAAGACAAAGAGCTGTTTTCCAAACTAGAGACAGATAGGTGGATATAACTAATTATAATTTACCAGAGCAGAAATTTATGAGCAGAAACTTTCATGGGAACCAGTACTAGGGTAGAAAAACCTAAACTATAACTGAGGAATAGATAGAAGCTCAGTGTGGACAAGTCTGAGATTCAACAACTTTATGGGGCCTTCTTTTAGTCCATATTATTATACGTCTGCCTCCAGAAGCCTATCAGGTTCTCACAATGAAAATCAGAGAAAAATCTTCTTATTCTTCTGGAATTAGGAGAGAGGAAAAGAAGCCAGTCTGAAATATGTCTAGAGAATTGTGTTCTTCTTAACAAGGGCTGCCCTCAAGAGAAACTCTTTCATCAGGACCTAAGCAGCTGGGGTTTTAGCAGAGTCTAATTGACCTGGGCGAACTCAACAGCAACCTTCTCTTGCTTTTCCTGTGGGAGAAGGGAAATGTCTCACTTCAGCCCCACTTTATCAACATGTAAAGGCATAGGAAAAACTTAGAAGTAAGAATGAAGGACATAGGTTCACTAAAAGACTAAAACCTAATCATAGAACTGCAAAATGCTTTCCACCCTCAACACCTTTCTAGCATAATCTATTTAGCACTGTTTCTTTAATGTAGAGTATCACGTCCAGTGTTCAACAAAAAATTACAAGCAATACTAAAAGACAAAAACACAGTTTGAAGAGGCAAAGTAAGCATCAGAACCAGATTCAGACATGGTAGAGATGTTGGAATTATGAGATTCGCAGGGCATAATAATTTGATTAATATGCAAAGAGTTTTAACAGAAAAAGTAGATAGCATGCAAGAAGAAATGGACAATGTCATCAGAAAGATTCAAAATCTGAGAAATAAATAATACACTTTAGGATTCAAAAACATCGTTATAGAAATGAAGCCCCTCTTGGGGTCAGTAGTAGACTGGACACAGCTGAGGAAGGAAACAGTGAGCTTGAGAATACATCAATAGAAATTTCCAAAACTGAATATCTAAGAAGAGAATACTGAAAAAAGAAAGACAGTGTCCAAGAACTGTGGAACAACTACAAAAGGAGTCATATATGCATGATGGTAATGCCAGAAGGAAAAGAAAAATAAAACAGAATTATTTGAAGCAATAATGGCTGATAATTTCACAAAGCTGATATCAGACACCAACCCACAGATGTAGCAAACTCAGAAAACACTAAGCAGATTAGATGTCAAAAAATAATGAGTAGATATATTATATTCAAACTGCAGAATATCAGAGGCAAAGAACAAATCTTAAAAGAATATAAAGGAAAAAAATTTTCCTATAGAGGCTCAAATAAAGAATTACTTCTAACTTCTCTTCAGTCAGCGAAGAAACAAGACAGTAGGGTAAAATACTTGGTGTTCCGAGAAGACACAGACACACACACACACGCACACACACACTCTCTCTCTCTCTCTCTTTCTCTCTCCAGAATTATCCACCCTGTGAAATTATCCTTTGAAAATTAAAGAGAAAGACATTTTCTCATACAAACAAAAATTGAGAAATTTTTTTTGCCAAGTAGATCTCCCTCTCAAGGAATAAAATAGTTTCAGAAAAGGAGTGTGGTCAACAGTATCAGATGCTGCTAGGTTAAGAGAAATGTTCAAAAGTAGTAGTCAAATTTGACCAAAAACACAATATAGCAATATAGGTGGTTTTTTGGGTAATGCTAGCATGCATATTCTTTACTCTTCACTTGGATGTCATTTTCATGATCATAAATTCTGAACTCAGAATGATAATCCCAGCCAAAGTTTACATGTACTAGACACTATAATATAAACTAAAAAATGAATTGTGTTTCTGTATACTAATAATGAACTATCTAAAAAAGAAATTAAGAAACCATTCACAATAGCATCAGAAAGAGTAAAATGGTGTAAATTTTACCAATCTAGTAAAAAATTGGCACATGAAGCCCATAAAAATTAATGAAGAAATTAAAATACACATGAATAAATTAAAAGCATATGTACTTTTTAAGGATTGAAAGAAAATAGGTAAAATGTCCATATTACCCAAAGTGATGTACAGTTTTATTGCAATCTCTATCAAAATTTCTATGGCATTTTTCACAGGTATAGGAAAAAACTGACATTAAGAAGAAACCAATAAAAGATATGAAATAACCAAAGCAATCTTAGGCAAAAAGAACAAAGCTAGAGGTATTATACTTTCTGATTTCAAATTATGTTACAAAGTGACAGCAATCAAAATAGTAAAGCACTGGCATAAAAAAGACACATATATCAATGGGACAGAATAGAGGACAGAACTAAACACTTGAATACATGGTCGACACATTTTTGACAAGGATATATTTTGACAAGGAGATAAGGAACATACAACGGGGAAAGGATAATCTCTTAAATGCTGGTGAATAAATTGAATATTCACATGTAAAAGCAAGAAATTGGACATTACACACATAAATCAAATAAAGATGGACAAAATACTTTAATGTAAAGCCTGAATCTATAACACTTCTAGCAGAAAACAGAGAAAGCTCCTTGCCATTGGTCTGGGCAATGATTTTTTTGGGTATGTCACCAAAAGCACATGCAACAGAAGCAGAAATAAAGTGATTACATTAAATTAAAACGTTTTGCATAGCAAAAAAAAAATGAAATGAAAAGGCAGCCTATAGAATGAGACAAAGTATTTGCAAACTATATATTTGATAACGTATTAATATCAAAAATATGTATTGGAGGCCATACGCTGTGACTCATGTCAGTAATCCTAGCATTTTGAGAGACTGAGATGGGAGAACTGCTTGAGCTCAAGAGTTTGAGACAAGCCTAGGCAACATACAGAGATACTATCTCTACAAATATATATATTTGTATATATAAAGATCATAAAATAGTAAGTACAACCAACACCAATGTATAATTAGATCTAACTAAAAGAGCACTTGAAATAATGTACCAACTATATTCTTTACTGACCTAGTAAGTCTCTGATACAGCATAGCATACTCATTAGGAAAAGTTCTAGAACATTCAGAATTTTGGATTGCCCGATTATAATAACAAACTACTGAAAAACAAAATTATAAACATACCAGTTACACTAGATTTAAAATAGTATATTTAGAAATTAATACAACAAATGTTACATAACATGCATGACACTGGTTAATGAGTAGGATAATTTAAGGTAATATATTAATTCTATATCAGGTTTACCACTTATATTCTGTTCTCTCTGTTGGATAATTTCCTTATTTCATTTCTCTTAAAAATCACAATGATGAAAATTATGAAAAATGGCAGAAAAATGTAGAAACTCAGAATAAACCAGTTGTTCCACTGTTTATTGTAGCTTTTTTCAGTATAAAATTCATCTAGAAATGAATCATAATATAAATTAGTGGGAAGTTAGTGGATATTTAAATAAATTTATATTTTTTCACTTTAATAGTATATATGTGTATATGTAATAATTTAAGTTTTAATGTCTTGCAAGCTGATAGGAAAAAAACAGAACATTTAAGTTCATAAATGCAACCTACAGTGCCATATGTTTCATAGATTTTCTTTTTTTTTTTTTCCTGGTTTGATCTTGTTTTATTTTTATTTTCTTTTTTCTTATTGCATTTTAGGTTTTGGGGTACATGTGCAGAACGTGCAAGATGTTGCATAGGTACACACATGGCAGTGTGTTTTGCTGCCTTCCTCCTTCACCCACATTTGGCATTTCTTCCCAGGCTATCCCTCCCCAGCTCCCCCTCCCGCCGCTGTCCCTCCCCTATTACCCCCAATAGACCCCAGTGTGTAGTACCCCCTTCCCTGTGTCCATGTGTTCTCATTTTTCCTCACCCGCCTATGAGTGAGAATATGCAGTATTTCATTTTCTGTTCTTGTGTCAGTTTGCTGAGAATGATGGTCTCCATATTCATCCATGTCCCTACAAATGACACGAACTCATCATTTTGAATGCTGCATAATATTCCATGGTGTATATGTGCCACATTTTCCCAGTCCAGTCTATCATCGATGGGCATTTAGGTTGGTTCCAGGTCTTTGCTATTGTAAACAGTGCTGCAATGAACATTCGTGTGCATGTGTCCTTACAGTAGAACGATTTATAGTCCTTTGGGTATATACCCAGTAATGGGATTGCTGGGTCAAGTGGAATTTCTATTTCTAAGGCCTTGAGGAATCGCCACACTGTCTTCTACAATGGTTGAACTAATTTACACTCCCACCAACAGTGTAAAAGTTCCTATTTCTCCACATCCTCTCCAGCATCTGTTGTCTCCAGATTTTTTAATGATCGCCATTCTAACTGGTGTGAGATGGTGTTTCATAGATTTTCTATTTGTTTACACATATTTATTTAAATATTAATCTGCTATATACATGTTTAGAATGCTGTTTGCTGCATTCAACTTATTTGTAACATCAAACATTTAAAAGTTAATATAGTAATAGGGATTAAGTTACAATTTTTAAAAATGTATACTTTGAGAAACCACCATCCCATTCCCTTGCTAAATCAGTTTTTCCTCAGAGAAAACCAATTTTAAATGACTAACTTGTCTCCATCTAGTGTTTATATTCTATACATGTAAAGAAAATTCCTATTTATACCTACAATTGTATCTGCATCAATATCTATGCAGCTATACATAACATGTACATCTGTGTGTATATGAGTATGTGTATATCTTTCCACTCATTGACATTCTATAAGCATAGTATTTCCTTTGGGTTGTTTTTATACTTAAAAAAATTGACTTACCATATAATTCTGAAAACTATACAATATATAAATATATTAGTAAAGTTAGCAATGAGTTAACTAAATGAATACCCACATACCCGCTCTCCAGGTCTCAAAAAACTGTCTTTTGATTTTCACTATAGACAAAGTCTATATAATGCTAAAAGATTCAATGCACTAGAAAGGTTTGACATCTGAGCACCCAACATCCGAGCACATAAGTATGTAAAACCATGACCGAACTAGAGGAAGAAATAGAGAGCAATACAATGATGGTAGGAGACTTCAATGTCACATGTTCGATAATGTAAAGAACATCCCAAAAGAAGATCAATAAGAAAACAGAATTTGAATCATACTAAACACCAAATGGAACTAACATACATACACGGAATATTCCACTCAACAGCAGCCGAATGCATATTGCTTTCAAGTTCCCACAGTTCTTTCTCCAGGATAAATCAAATGTTAGATCATTAAAATAAAAGTTAACAAATTTTTAAAAGATTGAAATCAGAGTATGTATCTTCTCAGATCACAAGGGACGAAACTAAACAATTGCAGAAGGAAAACTGAAAAATTTGCAGTATGAGAGAATTAATACACTAGTGAACAATCTTTGTGTCAAAGAAGAAATCAAAATGGAAATTAAATACCTCAAGACAACTGAATATGAATATGCAACATGCCAGAAATTATTGGCTGCAGCAAAATTGGCACTAACAGGGAGGTTCATGGTGATTAACACTTGCATTTAAAAAGAGAGAGATAAAGATTTCAAATAAACTACCTAACATTACACTTCAAGGAACTAGAAAAAGAAAAATGAACTTAGCCCAAAATTAGTAGAAGAAAAAAAATTGTAAGTATTAGGGCAGAAGTAAATGAAATAGAAAATAGAAAACAAACAAAGATCAGTGACACTAAGAGGTGTTTTTAAAATGGTAAAAAAAATCGATAAAATATCTAAAAAATAGAAAATGCAAATAAATAAAATCAGGAATGAAAGGAGAGACATAAAAACTGAAAAGTTATGAGACATTCCTGAGAGATATTGATCCGTAGTTTTCCTCGCTTGTGAAGTCTCCTGGTTTTGCTATTGGGGGTAATGCTGGCATCATAGGATGAGTTAGGAAGTAGCACCTCTGCTTCATTTCCTTAAAGGTATTGCAGAGAATTAGTGTAATTTCTTACTTAAATGATTGGTCATATTTACTGGTGACTATATCTGGGCCTGAGAGCTTATTTAATAGAAGGTTTTTAATTATTGAATTAATTCTTTTTGTACATGTAGGCCTATTAGGATTATCTGTTTCATCTTGTGTGAATTTTGTTTTGTATCTTTTAATTAATTTCTTTAATGAAGATTATAAAATTTGTGAGTATATGGTTATTCACAATATTTCTCGGTTATCACTTACATGTTCATTTGAGCAGCAGTTAGCTTTCTTTCATTTTCATACTAATAAGTTATGTCTTTTTTCCATTTTTCTTAGTATGGCCAGAGGTTAATCAATATAACTGATTTTTTTTTTTTTAAAAGATGGGGTTTCACCATGATGGCCAGGCTGGTCTTGAACTCCTGACCTCAGGTGATCCACCTACCTCGGCCTCCCAAAGTGCTAGGATTACAGGCATGAGCCACCATGCCAGGCCTATAATTGATATTTTCAAATCACCAGTCTTTCATTGATTTTCCTTTATTGATTTGCTTTTTTCCCCTATTTTATTGATATTTATTGTACTGTTTTCCTTGTTTACTTTGGATTTAGTTTAACTTTCTTTCCCTAGTTTGCTAAGATGAAAGCTCAAATTTCTGACTTTAGATATGATATAAATTTTTCTGTAAGTTTTGCTTTTGATGAATCCCACAAATTTTGATAAGTTGTATTTCATTTTTATTCAGTTCAAAATGATTTTAAACTTTCTCTTGAGACTACTTTAACCCATGTGTTATTTGTGAATTTGTTATTTAATCTCCAAGTATTCAGGGCTTTACAGTTTTCTTTTTATTACTGATTTCTAGTTCAATTTCATTTTTGTTTCAGAACATACATAGTAGAGTTTCGTTGCTTTAGACTTGTTAAGGTACACTGTAAGAGAGAATTTGATCTACAATAGAGAATGTTCTATGTGGTCTTGAGAATAATGTTTAGTCTGGTCTCATTGTACGGAATATTTTCTAAGTATAACTAGATCAAGTTGATTGATCATTGTCTTAAGGTCAATTATACACAGTAAGTCCTCACCTAACCTTGTCTGCAAGTTCTTGGAAAATGTAACTTTAAGTGAAACAATATGAGCAGGTCCTCAAGGAAAAAAATCTTTTTTTTCAACAATATTTTATTATAACATTGATGAAAAAAGATGGTTTCATTGTATATAGTTTCATTTCAAGTTCTTCACAGTTTTGAAGAACTTGACCATATTAAGTGAGGACTTACTATACTTACTGATTTTCTATATGCTGTTGTGTCAGTTACTAGTAGAAAGGAGTTAGACTAGTCAACTATAATAGTGGATTTTTATATTTATCCTAGAAGTTCTTTCAGATTTTGCCTCATTTTTTTTGACACTGGTGATACACACACACACACACACACACACACACATACACATACACATTTTGTTTTCTTTAAGACTTGCTCCCCTTATTATAAAACATCACTCTTTATTCTATATGTTTCATTGCTTTGATGTTGACTTCATCTGAAGTTACTACAGATTATCAAGCTTTCTATTAGTTAGTATTATCATGGTATATCTTTCTCCCATCTCTTTACTTTTAATTTACCTGTGTCTTTACATTTAAAGTGTGTTTCTTGTAGACAACATAGAGTTTGGTCTTGTTTATTTAATTTTTTCTAATACACTCTGACAGTCTCTGTCTTTTAAATGATTTATTTAGAATATTAACATTGAAAGTGATTGTTGATATATTTGAATTAATACCTTTTGCTTTATTGTCTTAGCCCTTTCTATTTGTTGCCATTTAAAAAAATCTCTTATCTTGCACTTTTTAAAAAATTGGCTTTCTCTGATTTCAATTGACCATTTTACATTATTCCATTTTCTCTTTATGTTGTATTCATTATAAATTTGTGTGTGTGTGCTCGGCCCAGCGTTTGGTGCCTGACTTTGTCCTGTTTGGAGTTTGTTAAGCTTCTTGGATTTGTTTATTTATGATTTTCATAAAATTTTGAAAGTTTTGGGTCATCATGTATTCAAATACTTTTTCTTTTTCTTTCTTTCATTTTTCTCTCCGTGTGGTACTCACAAAATGAGAATGTTCCACTCGATAGTGGTCTTCAGGTCTCTTGGGCCCCAATCAAATCTCTCCATTCTTTTGCTTTCTGGCCTCAGATTCAACCATTTCAATTGTTCTGCCTACAAGTTTATTGTTTCTTTTTTCTCTCTGCTCAAATCACTTTGATTGTAGTGAATTCTTTTAGTTATTGTACTATTGAACTCTAGAATTTATTCAGTTACATTTAATAATTTCTATGTCTATTGATATTCTCATTTTGTCCATACATGTTTTTCTTGATTTCTTTAGTTCTTTGTCCATGTTTTCCTTTAGGTGTCTGAGTACATTTTAAAGCCTTTGTAAGTCTGAAATTTGGGCTTCTATGGGATGATTCCTGTCAATTAATTTTGTTCCTGTGAATAGGTCATGCTTTCCTTTTTCTTTTTAAGCCTTGTGATTTTCATTGTTGTTGAAAATTGGCTATTTGACTGTTATAACTAGGAAACTCTGATTATCTCCCTGTCTGCCCTACTCAGGGTTTACCAGTTTCTTGACTTCTGAAGACTTCGTTAGTATATATTTTTTAGTGACTTTCCAGGGTATTTTTACAAAGACTGTATCTTTTGGCTTTATGGTGTGATTTTCAGAGCTTTTGTTCAGGCAATGTTTTGACAGGGATTTTTTGAAAAACAGGAGCTAAATTTTAACACTAATAGTACATAGACAAAAAACAAAGGAAACAATACAAACAAAATAACTCTATTCAGTGCAGGTTGAGTCCTGCACTGAGAACTTGGTTACACTGAGCCAGACTTTCACTGAGCATAGAAATTAGCCTTGGGTGACAGCTCATTATCTTCTTAGATATTTTCTAGCATGAATCTTTCAATAATCATGAAACTGGCTTTCTAAATTTCTCCATATATCCATGTAATTTTGAATTTTCTTGTTAAATTCCTAGTTATTTCCTGGTCTGTCATTTGTTCTCAGCGTACCTATCCTATCAGCCTAGAAGAGCAGTTAGTCTTCCATGTTCTCCTGACAACATAATTGCTGATGTAATCAACAATACTCCAACAAATCTAGTCATTCTCTTTTTCTTCTCACCCCACCCTGAAGCAGCAAAATTAATGGCTTTTACAGATAGCTTCATCCTAGTTGAACTACCATGTTGATGAAGTTAGGTCAGGCTAGTCTAAGGTAAGACATCAGTCTAAGGTAAAGAAGGCTGTTTTCATCAACAAAGAAGTAGTTTTCATCAACAAAGGTTGTTAACGTGTAGCCGTGTTAACAGAAGTAGTTTTCATGAACAAAGTTTATTGATATTTAACTTGCTTAAGGTTCACTTAGCTTCTTGGATGCAAGTACTGACTTTCTTCAACTTGTTGGGAAAATTTGGGGTCGTTATTTTTTCAAATGTCTTTTCTGTATACTCTCTCTCTCTCATTTTTATCGGAATCACCCATTAAACATATACAAGAAAAATTTATATTGTCTTAGAAACATGCAACTCATTTAATCTATTTCCCCTTTCTCAAATGTCAGAATTGTTTACTCATTGACAAATGCTTCATACAATTTTCTAGAATTATTCTGTCACAGCCAAAAAAGAAAATCCTTATGGCTTTTTCTTTTAATCTCTTTTTTTCAGAGATTATTAATAATCTCAGAGATGTTTCTGAAACACTATTGCCTACAGAAGTTATCTCCAGTGTTTTTATCTCATCTCACTCTACACAATTGTATCATTTCATGAGTTACTTTATCTAAACACCTATAAACTAAGTATGACTATTTCCCAATGCTCCTAATGATACCACTATCAAACGCCCAATGATATTGTCAAATTAATCTTCCCACAGATAACTTCCATATATCCAAACGTAAATGCATTATCTTCATGCTCTGTTCATCCTCTGATAATTTCATGCAAATTTTTATAACTGTCCATATATAAAACACATTGATCATCATGCCTTTATTCATTGTTATTCACAAAAATTGATACTATGTAGCAACTTTTTTTCCCCCTTTTATTGTCTACTTTGGGACCTTAAGTTAAGGTTACTGATTTCTCAGCAATTTGCATTCCTTAAGACTTATATCACCAAACCTATTTCCCTCATTGCTGCTTGGGTGGACTTTATAAAATGTGAATCTCAATTTTGTTGCCTCACCAGAAACCCAATAACATGTTTGTGGAGGAAATGTGTGAATGAATGAATAGCTGAATCAATAAGTAGTTTATGATACTGACAGGGACAGGGGCAGAAAAATTCTAGGCAGAAAATGTTAATTGGCCCTAACTAAGGCCAACTCTCAAGCTGAAAAGCTTGAGATTGCAGCCCAAAGTGAGAACTTTTCCCGGTTGAATGCTGCCTATTCCTAAACCACCCATATTCCCATCCCACCCCCATCCTGTGCCTATAAAGACCCCAGACTCAGCTGGCAGAGAGGAGAAGCAGCCGGACATCAGAGAATGTGGCTAGACATTGAAGAGAAGTGACTTGACTTCAGAAGGAAACTTGACTGCATCACTTTAGAGAAGAATCTGGCCAGAGACAGCTGGACTTCAGGGGAAGATTATCTTCTCACCTTGGCCCCTTTTCAGCTGCCCTTTCCACTGAGAGCCACTTTCATCAGCAATAAAATCTCCTACATTTACCATATTTCAATTCATTCACATGACTTCATTTTTACTGGACACTAGACAAGAGCTCAGGAGCCATGAGTGTGGGTGCAAAAGGCTGTCACACTGGCCCTCTGCCCTTGCTAGTGGAGAGCAACCACCTCACACAAAAAGGCAGAGGGTCCACTTATCTGTTCATACCTAAGCTGTCTGCAGATGGCAGAGCTAAAAAAGCATGGCAACATGCCCTCTGGAGCTTCAAGGGTCACTGGAATCCCTCCAGATGCTGCTGCAGGGCCCACACCAAGTTTGCTTCTGTCGATGCTCAAAGTGTTCCCCCTGGTTCCTGCACCCACTTGCCTGTGCTCTCCCTCCTTCAAGGGTTGGAATACATAAGGTCCCAGTGAGTGGATTTTGCCCCTGCTGGCACTGAATCAGCCAGCTGGTTCCAGTGCTCATGTACTCCACTTCTCACCCCATTAACTCACACACTCCCTCCTGCAAGGAGTTGAGAACTGCAGGTTGTGTAAATGAGGCACCCCTGTCACAAGTCCCATGAAGGTGTCAAAGGAAATATCCTGCTTCAATATTGCCTTCATTTATAGAAACAAGTAAAGTATAAATATGTATGCCATCACTCAAAATGTGATTGATTTACTGTTATTTCTTTACAAATATGCATTTATATTTGGCCATGTTTTTCCAAAGTTCATTGAGAATAAACACTTATGGTACAGTTTTTTTTTAACAGCCAACAGAGTTTGTAACAATATGGAATGAAAATCTTTCATGTAGTTTTTATTCTTCTATATGTAAATTTTCAAAAATTTATTTAATGACATTCGTTGAAACTTACTCGTACTGTTTTGTAACTTGAGTTAATTAAAGCACAATATCTCTGAGAATATCTGGTTATAGATATTGTGTAAGATCACCAGAGTCATTCCCCCTTAGCTACAGTTTTGGTTGCACAGTAACAACCGTGGTCAACCACTGTCTGAAAATATTAAATGAAAAATTCCAGTAACCAACAATTCATAAGTTTTAAACTGCATGCTGTTCTTGGTGGCATGATTAAATCCTCCATCATTCCTTTCTGCCTCACCAGAACGTGAATCATTCCCAGGTCCAGTTAATTCATGCTCTATATACTACCTGGCCATTAGTCACTTAGCCATCTTAATTAGCAGGTTGCTTTTTATGCCATTACAGTGCTTTGTTCAAATCACCCTTATTTTACTTTATAATGATCTTAAAGGGAAAGATTAGTGCGGCCATAAATTTATATATGCCAAAGAGAAGTCAAACATTCTTTCCTTAAGGAAAAGGGTGAATACTCTTGACTTAATGAGGAAAATGTATTAATACATGCATATTCCAAATATATGTAAATAAAATATAAAGTATATGTATATTTACAAATGTATGTGTGTATTTAAATATTAAAATATGCATATTTACAAATGTCAACATTTAGCAAAATATACATACATACATATTTTCCTCAATAAAAAAAATTCATTGCTAAGATCTGTAGTTAAATCAAATCTTCAATCCATAAAATTGTAAAGAACAAGAAAGTAATCTGTACTAATTTTGCTGATGCATCTAAAACTACAAAAGTTAAGACTATAGGGGATGATAAATGCTTAGTTAAGACAGAAAAGACATTAAATTTATAAGTAGAAGACATAAACAGAAAATGTGTTCTGATTAACGGCAACATGTTGCACCAGAAAACATTTGAACCTGTAAAAATACTTCAGCATGGAATTCCCTGAAATAAATAAGCCATTTATTGCAAGTAAGAGATGGTTACACAGATTCAGGAACAGGTTTGGACTGAAAAATATAAAAATGACTGGAGAGGCTGTGTCTGCTGATGGAAAAGCAGCTGCCACATTTCCAGCAGAATTGATGTTAATCATGGAGAAAGGACATCATCCAAAGTAAGTTAACAATGGTATTGAAATCAGTCTTCTGGAAAAAGATGAACAATAGAACCTACAGTAATGGAAGTGCGAAGGAGGCGCCAGGGCATAAAACACGGAAGGACAGTTAGTTATTATTGTTACTATGCCTAATTGATGAATGAAACTTTATCACAGATATGTATATGTAGGAAAGAACATAGTACATTTAGAGGTTGGCACTATCTACAGTTTAGTTTCAGGCATCCACTGAGGGTTTTAGAATGTATCCCCCACAAATAAGAAGGGACTACGGCAATGTAAATGAAGCCACCATTCAAAATAACTTAGATTTCTTCAATTACTTTTACTTAAAATGATCTTCTATTTTTCTCTGGAAAATAAATTTCCACTTACCAGATTTCTGAAACTTTCCATCATCAATACTACCCCCTGGGGAACCAATCTGGAATTTACAATCTGGAGGCCTATGTCCAGGGAAGCATTGACAATTACCAAAATTATTACAGACCTGAAACAGAAAAATACAGAAAAATAGTTTGAGTCAGTCATCTTAGTCTTTGTATCTGATGTAAATACCTACATTTCATAGAATAATTATTTTTCTTAAGATTATTATGACTATATAATATGAGAAATAGGTTATAAAAAGTAGAGACGACATTTCACCACGTTGTCCAGGCTGGTCTCAAACTCCTGACCTCAGGGTGCCCACCTCGGCTTCCCAAAGTGTTAAGATTACAGACATGAGCCACTGTTCCCAGCCCATTTGGACATTTTCTATTCATGCACTTCAGTGTCTATACAAAATATTGTGATAAAAGAAACATCAATTGACTCGGTCACTTTAATTCTTTATCCTAGCCCCTTTTCAACATTTGACATTATTGATCAATGATGTACATTTTATTTTTAAGTGAATACATTTTCCAAAATAAAGTAACATACGTGCAAAGCAAATATTAAAAATCAACAATCAATTCGAACTTTATGATGAGCTTGCATTGCTAGAAGTTAACATTTGACAATGTTTGTATATTATTCATGCTTTTTGTATGAATATTTCAATTATTATTTTCATTTTAAAACTAAACAAATACATATTTTGCAAAATTCAAACAATAAAAGTGTATAGAACTCAAATTCCTCAGTAATGAATTAAGTCCCATTTCCAACTGTTAAAGATGTTGTGTTTCATTCATATATATCAAATGAATTTATAAATACACATACCCACATCCACAAACTCAAATAAACATACATTAATAGATTTTTGCCAAATAATATTCATAACAATATGCTATGAGCTTATTCTCATATCTGTATGTATGAAAATATCACAGGCACTTTTTAAAAAAGACTCATAATGTTCAATAGTGTGAGTATTCCCTGTAATTTTCCTAAAGATATTGTATCCTGCCCATTTATACTCATATTGCTGAGTTGTTTATACAGTTTGTTGAAATTGATTACCTCTTTTCTACATATCAAAAGAGATTTCAATAAAGTGAGTTGGAATTAAAGCCCTGAGTTCCATGAAGTAGTATTCTATTTTATATGTCCATGTTTTTGTTGTTGAATATTTAGTGTACAATATTTTAATATAAAGGTTTTAAATTAGAATCAGAATATCATATATGCATTTTTTTTGAAAGGGGGTCTCGCTTTGTTGCCCAGGCCGGTCTCGAACTCCTGGACTCAAGTAATCCTCCTGCATCAGCTTCCCAAACTGCTAGGATTACAGATGTGAGCCAGAATATCTGGCCTTATGCATCCTTTTTAACTTATTCCACAACTGTATCCTCTTCTGAATTGATTTACATTTATTTAAATACCTGAATACAACAAAGGATCTCATTGTTTTATTTTACTAACTTCAAAAGAAATAGTCAACAAGAGCAAAGCTATGCCAAATAAATAATAGAATTTTAAAATAAAGAAAATGTGATATTTTGGAGAATATGTAACAATTGGCTGTCAAATAAAAAAAAAACAGAGAAGCACAAACCTTAGACACTTGCTGGCAATAATTCTAAGAACACACATGCACAAAAGATAATCTTACCACATTCTGTACAGTGTAAAGAGACTAAATATAGCATCAGATTCCTCCCTGATAAGACTAAAAGCAACAGTATAGTACAACAGAGTTTCAAAGTTTGACGGTAAATCAAAATATGATAATTCTTAGACAAAAAAAGTGTCATTTAGGTGGAAGACCATCATTTTCACATTTTGATATCAAGATCTCTGAATGCATTTTTCTCACATATGTATTTTTCTGTATATTTTGACAAAGTGTTAATCCAGTACCCTACCCCTCCAATGAAAGCACAAGGACATGATAGAACACTTGATGTAGGATAGCAAATTTATATATATCACACTTTTAACTGTAACAATTTAAAAAACAGAATTAACATAATGCATATAATCCTTTATAATACCAGGAACTTCAAGTCCAAAATTGCCAAAAAAACACAAACGTTAGAGGTTTAGGATAAAGGGTATGTACAAGTGCAAAAATGGTCACTCCTTAATTGGATGTGCAAGGAGAAACAGGTTTTGTTTAAGCTCGGCCTAGAAATAGACAAATGAAAAGGAAACAAATGTTTAAATTTCCAGGTAACTAGGGTCCCTAGGGCCAAAACAGAAGTCACAATATAGAATTTTCTTTGTATTAGGGCAAGTCATGGCAAGATAAAAAATTAAAAATGACTTATAAAAAAATTAAAAGTATGTTGAATTTTATCAAAGTCTTTTCTGCATCTTTTGAGATAATCATGACTTTTTTATCTTTAGTTCTTTTATGTGATGCATCACATTTCTTGATTTCCGTATGTTGAACCAATCTTGCATCCTGGGGATGAAGACTATTTGATTGTGGTTGATAAGCTTTTTTGATGTGCTGCTGAATTTGGCTAGTCAGTATTTTGTTGAGGATTTTGACATCAATATTCATGCAAGATACAGGCCTGAAATTTTTGTTTTTTGTTGTATCTCTGCCAGATTTTGGTGTCAGCATGATGCTTGCCTCATAGAATGAGTTACAGAGAAGTTCCTTTTCAACTTTTTGGAATAGTTTCAGTGAAAATGGTATTAGTTCTTTGTACCTCAGGTAGAATTCAACTGTGAATCTACGTAATTCTGGGCTTTTTTTTTTTTTCTGGTTGGTAGGCTATTTATTACTGCTTCAATTTCAGAACTTGTTATTGGTCTGCTTAGTGATTCAATTTCTTCTTGTTTCAGTCTTGGGAGAGTGTATGTGTCCAGGAATTTATCCATATTTTTTCTAGATTTTCTAGTTTATGTGCATAGAGGGGTTTATAATATTCTCTGATGGTTGTTCGTATTTCTGTGCAGTCAGTAACAGTATCCCCTTTATCATTTCTGATTGTGTGTATTTGAATCTTCTCTTTTTTCTTCTTGGTTAGTATAGCTAGCAGTCTATTTATCTTATATATTTTTTCAAAAAATAAACTCCTTGATTGGTTAATCTTTTGAATGTTTTTGGGTGTGTCTCAATTTCCTTCAGAAAAGATTTCTGATGAAATTCAACATCGCTTCATGTTAAAAACTCTCAATAAACTGGGTATTGAAGGAACATACCTTAAAACAAAAACAAGCAATGGGAAAACGATACTCTATTCAATAAATGATGCTGAGATAACCGGCTAGCCATATGCAGAAAACTGAAACTGAACCCTTTCCTTACACCATACACAAAAACCAACTTAAGATGGACTAAAGCCATAAAAGTAAAATTGAAAACTATAAAAACCTTGGAACACAACCTAGGCAATATCATTCAGGACATAGGCACTCATGAAGATTTCATGATGCAGATGCTGAAAGCAATTGAAACAAAGTAAAAATTGACAAATGGGATATTATTAAAGAGCTTCTGTACAGCAAAAGAAGCTATCAGCAGAGTGAAAAGGCAACCTATAGAATGGGATAAATATTTACAAACTATGATTCTGACAAAAGTCTAATATCCAGATTTGATAAGGAGCTTAAACAAATTTACCAGAAAATAAACATTAAACAATAGACAAATAATATGAACAGAACGTTTTCAAAAAGAGACACAAATGCAGCCAATAGTTAAATGAAAAAAAAAAAGTCTGGCATCACTGATTATTAAAGAAATTAAAATCAAGACCACGATGAGATACCATCTCATGCCAGTCAGAATGGCTATTATTAAAAAGTAAAAAGAAGAAAACAGATGCTGGAGAGGTTGTAGAGAAACAGAAATGCTTATTGGCACGAGTGTTAATTAGTTTAGCCATTGTAGAAGACAGTGTGGCAATTCCTCAAAGACCTAAAGACAGAAATCCCATTCAACCAAGCAATCCTATTTCTGGGTATACACCCAAAGGAATAGAACTCATTCGATTATAAAGACACATGCATGCTTATGTACATTGCAGCACTATTCACAATAAAAAAGACATGGAATCAACCTAAGTGCCCATCAAGGATACATTTAATAAACAAAATGTGGTACATATACACCATGGAATACTATGCACCTATAAAAAAGAAAGAGATCATGTCCTTTGCCAGAACGTGGATAGAGCTGGAGGCCATTATCCTTGACCAACAAACACAGGAACAGAAATACCAGATACCATTCATTCTCACATATAAGTGGGAGCTAAATGATGACAACACATGGACACATAAAGGGGCACAACATACAGTGGGGCCCACCTGAGTGCAGAGATTGGGAAGAGAAGTGGATCAGAAAAATAACTAATGAATACCAGGCTTCTGTATCAGAAGCCCCCATGACACGTGTTTACCAACCTGCATATCCTTGCACATGTACCCTTGAACTTAAAATAAAGGCTAAAAATTAACTTATAATTAATTTAAAAATAAAAAAAGAAATGTTTAAATGTGAAATATAAGAAATAAGGAGCATATAATGTCAGGGACAACAACAAGCACTTAATTAATAAAATGCAGAGATTATCACAATGCATTAAAACGTGAAAATTAGGAAATAATATGTACATCAGCAAATACAAGCAAAAATATATCACAATGAACATATCAATAAATAAGAAAAATAAGCTATATCAGAAATATATTTTTAGAAAAAAATTAAAAGATGGATAAATCACTGATTTTTATATAAAATATAAGTAAACCACACTTGCATTGGAATAAATTTTAACTCACATGGAACAATAATTGGTAGGGAAAAAAAGTTAAAAATATAATCAATTATCTACATCTTATAATAACAGCAGGTCCAAATTATTAGTTTTGAGCAAAAATTTTGGAAGCAAATATATTTGCATAACTTAACCTTCTCAATCTCATATAAATAAAATATAAAAAGTGTCCCAAATCACTCTATAATCCAAATTTTTCATGTCATGTTATACTCAGAAATGAATGTCTATAATATCCCAATTAGGTAAATAAAAAGAGGGTGGGATAACTTATTTTATTAACTATTCATTAGATTACATAATTGTATAAGAGGATAAATTG